CAGAGGGAAGTTTCGCTGAGTGTTCCTTGGGTGCAAAGGAGTGACTTGCTGTGGCGCCATTCCGGGCTTAAACCAGCAAGGATGATCGTGACGAACATGTCGTCAGGGAAATTGCCACCACTTTTCCTAAATTGATCTCTTAGGTTTCTGCAACGGTTGATGTATGGCCAAGCCTTCCCTCGGGGAACATCTTTACGTTGTTCAGCTGGTTAAGAAGGCGACTAAGTGTCACCGAATCTGATGCCATGTGGCAGGTGCGCAGGTGCTCCCAGGATTGCTGCGCGGGCGCCCACTCGTTTTTGAAGGGGCGAATGCTCAGTTGTTCTTCGGGCGACATGTTCTGGATCAAGTTGGTGAAGGCCAACAACGACTCGTTGTAATATTGTGTCTTCTCTTGAGGTGAGCCGTTGACCGGGAATGCGTAGGATCCGTCATAGTACATCCTGATCTGTGCGCCTTGAGACAGGAGTTCAAACTCGAAACTCCAAGTGTGAGTCCTTCCCGTCGAAGGGCTTGGTTGTCCTGAGCTTTGATGTTGAGAGGAACTTGTTCTGCATTGACGCCATCGTCTCGAAATGCGCATGTTGTGCTTGTGCAGATGATCACAAGGCGCAAGCGCCTTGGTGAAGATATCAGCAGTGTTGGCCTCAGAGGCCACATACGCAAGGCGCAGCTGACCACGCTGCTGCAACTCACGAGCAAGGAAGTAGCGGACAGCAATGTGCTTCGTTCTGTGCTCCAGTCTCTGCTCCCGACACAAGGCCAGCATGACCTTGTTGTCTAGGTACAGCACTGGAGGAGAACGAGGCGGCTCTCCAAGGTCAGTCAGCAGGTAGGTGAGCCAGCGAAGCTCCTGTGCAGCCATGGCTCCTGCGTAGATCTCAGCCTCACAACTGGAGCCGAGAACAGAAGACGAGCGAGTAGCCCGCCACGAAACAGAGCCGGAACCAAGGCTGAAGGTGTAACCCTGTGACGACCGCTGCGTAGCCTGGTCGTCAGCCCAAGAAGCGTCTGCGTGTCCAGTGAGGACCACTGGACTCTGCCCTCCAAGCACAAGCCCCATGCCCGACGTACTGCACAAGTAGCGCAACACCCTCTTCGCTGCAGCCATGTGCTCTGGTCTGTGTCTCCCAGGAGCAACATAGCGTGCAAGAATGCTAAGAGGGTATGCAAGGTCAGGTCGTGTGCAGGTCATCAGGTACATGAGGCAGCCAACAAGCTTTGGGTATGGGCCACTCGACTCTACGGACTCATCCGAAGGGTGAGCAGAGAGCGAGTGGCGAGTAGGCAGAGGAGTGGCCTGAGGCGAGGAGTACGTGAAGCCGAAGCGCTGAAGGACTTGTTGCACCATGTGTGATTGAGTCAGGGTAATGGTGCGGCGTGCTCTGTCCCGCGTGATCTGCAAGCCAAGGTAGCTGCGCAGTTCACCCAGGTCTGTGCACACGTGTGTCTCTTCTGCAGCTCGGACTTCGCGTGGGCGAGTCCAGCAGTGTCAGCTGTAGCAAAGACCAAGTCGTCGACGTACACGAGGATGTAGAGCGGCGACAAAGAAGTGTCGGTGCGTAGAAACAACGACGGGTCAGCAGAAGAGGGAGCAAACCCAAGAGCCGCAAGTGTAGTCCTCAGTGTGTCATGCCACTCACGCAGTGCCTATCGGAGACCGTAGACCGGCCGCCGAAGGCTCCACTGGGTGCCAGGAGGAAAAGACCCAGTGAAGCCAGGAGGGCGGCGCAGCCAGATCTCCTCGTGCAGGTTGCCCTGCAAAAAAGCAGTGCTGAAGTCAAGAGAGTGTAGCTCGTAGTCACGGTGAGCAGCTATGTGCAGCAGTACCCAAAGAGTGGTCATCTTTGGGGTGGGAGAGAAGGTCTGAAAGTAGTCAACTCCCTGCCGCTGACTGAAGCCACGAGCCACGTAGCGCGCCTTGAAGACAGGCGGAGAACCCGGCGGCCGCTTCACCCTGAAAATCCACATGCCACTGATGATGTTCGCCCCAGGAGGGGGAACGTCGTCAACGTAGGTGCCTGTGGACTTCCAGGAAGCCATCTCTGCGTCCATAGCTGTCTGCCATTGAGAGGAGTAGGGACCCTCTATCGCCTCCGCGTAAGAGCACGGAGTCGGGATGTCAAGTGCATCCGGGTCTCCCTCAGGGGTAAGCAGTACGGACACGAGATGAGGTGAAGCAGCAGCCAAACACTGGAACTCCTCCTACCTGTCCTCAAGGACGTCTATGCCAAGGGCACACTCACCCCCGACGGACGGAGGACAGACAGACTCAGACTCGGCAACAAGACTGGCAGCGTAGTCTAGGCGACAGCGAGCAGCAAAGTCGACGAGCTCAGCAACTAGGGCAGACGCAGCACTAGACTCAAAGGAAGGGTCAGTGACAACAGTAGTTAGGAGACGCGTGACAGAAGGACTGGCAGCATGAAGAGAGTCTGACTCCGGTTCGGCAAGAGCAGGAAGACAAGACCCAGGAGGAGAAGGCAAAGGGGCACGCACAGGAGCAATGGACGGACGTAGAGACATCCGTTGCGTGCCAGGGACAGGAGGAGGACGCTGACGCGAACCACGACCACTAGTGCGAGCAGCACGGACAGGCGACGCAGGGTGAGACGCAGGCTCACGACGCTCAGCAAGACCTCCAATAGGACCTGTGTAGGGAGAAGGAGCAGGCAGTGGGGAGGCCGGCTGTAACTGTAACGGTGACGGGACAGGCTGTGGACACTCTAAGGGAGGAGGAGGACCAGTAGAAGGCGGGAGACCAAGAACTTGCTCAAGGAGCGGAACGAAGTACGGCCAAGGCCGCGCGGCGACTCCAGACACAGCAGGGATAGTACCAGTACCCCCAGTGGTAGCATCAGCGCCAGCAGCACCTCCAGCTTCAGTACCTCCAGCAGCACCAGTAGCACCCCCAGCAGGACCACCTCCAGGACCGACAGCAGTAGCCTCAGCGCCAACACCCGCAGCAGCTCCAGCTCCAGTCGGACCACGAGAAGACGTAGTGGCTCCAGCTCCAGTAGTACCCGCAGGCCTAGCACCCTTAGCAGCCGAAGAAACTCCAGCTCCAGCAGCACGCCTCCAGCACCGGGCAAACCACTCGCGCAGCTCCTGTGGAGAGAGTGGCTCCCGCCGAGACGAAGCACCCGGAGAACCGCCAGGCACAGCACCGCCAGGCACAGCACCGCCAGACGCCACACGAGCAGGCCCAGCTCCCTCAGGCTTCGCACCCCCAGGCTCAGCACCTCCATGCGTAGCACCCCCATGTCATAATGTTATCTTACGCTCTAGCCTGTAGTGGGGTGCTCTATAGCGAGTACAACCCTTCTAGGGTTTGCTATTTGTATCCTCATTCTTGCTAGTGCAACCCTCTTCTCTCTTCTAAACTTTCACATGGTATCAGAGCGGGTCGATCCCCTTGGATCGATTCTGTGGGTGGTCTTACCACCTCCTTGCTTCCGCTACAACTGCTACCACTACTCTCTGAGCCGCACGCCCCGTGGCATGCGGCAGTTTTTCTTCCCGCCGAGCGCCCCGAGGCGCGCGACGGTTTTCTGCCCGCCGTGCGCCCCGAGGCGCGCGGCGGTTCTCTGCCCGCTGTGCGCCCCGAGGCGCGCGGCTGGCTTCTGCCCCGTCGTTCGGCGCGGCGCCCTCTGGAGGCGCCGCGACGGGCGACAGGGACCCGCGCGTCGCCCCCCGTCGCCCGTCGTGGCCTGCGCGCGGCCTGTACAGGCAGCGCGCGGCCCGTACGGGCTGCGCCAGACCTGCGCGCGGCCCGTACGGGCTGCGCCAGGCCCGCGCGCGGCCCGTACGGGCTGCGCCAAGCCCGCGCGCGACCCGTACGGGCGGCGCCAGGCCCGCGCGCGGCTCGTATGGACGGCGCCAGGCCTGCGCGCGGCTCGGGTCGCCTGCGCGCGGCTCGAGCGTCTGTACCAGGCCCGTGGTGGGCCCCTTTCTCGTCGCCCCTGCCCTCCCCACTGTCCCCCCGTGCTTCTACTGGCGCCCCACCCCTCCTACTCCCCATTCTTCTGTGGGGGTGACCTCACTGTGTGTCGTTCCCTGCTCCTCCTCCTCCTCCGTCTCCCTGTGCTGCAGCTGCTGCTGAGGGGGGGTGGACGTGTTGGAGCCGGTGGAGTGGTACTTGGGGGGGTGAAGGGGGAGTGGAGCTAGCGGTGTAGCAGCGGGTGTGTGTTGGGGGGAGTGGGATAGTTCAAGGAAGCTGAATGGAGGTTGCCGTCTATCGACAGCAGCACGTGTAGTTCGGGGAGTTGCTCCAGTAGCCCAGTCGTAGCCAGCTGTGCCAGCCGCCCGTGGGTCCGTTGCTTGTCTGCCGCTACTTTAGCCGCGGGGCCAGTTACTCCAGTATTCCGGAGCGTTGTTCCGGTAGCCGCTGTGCCAGTGTGCCTCCTGTTGCCCGTGTGTCTGTAGCTTCAGCCGTCGCCTCCTATCTCCTCTCCTCTCACTCTCTCTCCTCCTCCTCACTTGCCCGTTGTGACTACCACTAGATTTGCTCATAATTGTGAACTTTAAACTATTTCTTCTTGAACTTGTGCTCAGAATGTGTGGTGACATTGAGATCCACCCTGAGCTTGTACTACTTTGCTTGCTCTGCTGATTACACCCCACTTTGGCTATGGGGGTGTGTCAAAATGTTATCTTATGCTCTAGCTTGTAGTGGGGTGCTCTATAGCGAGTACAACCCTTCTAGGGTTTGCTATTTGTATCCTCATTCTTGCTAGTGCAACCCTCTTCTCTCTCCTAAACTTTCACACCCCAGGCTCGGCACCCCCAGGCGTAGCACCCCCAGGCTCAGCACCCCCAGGCTCAGCACCCCCAGGCTCAGCACCCCCAGACTCAGCACCCCCAGGCTCAGCACCCCCAGTCGTAGTACCCTCAGGCTCAACACCCCCAGGCGTAGCACCCACACGCTCAGCACCCCCAGAGTCAGCACCCCCAGGGTCAGCACCGTCAGCAGCACCAGAGTCACCAGCGACCTTGACAGGCTAAATTGCGTCTACCTGGGACACACCTGAAGGGGCAGGACCCTGAGGGGGAAGGGGGTCTACCGGGGGGGGGACCTGGCACAAGGAAGAGCGATGGCGGGGGGGGAAAGTGACGGTAGTAGGGGACCAACTCGTCGAACGTGACGTCCTCGGAGGGCAGAATACGGCGAGAGGTGGGGTGGTAGAACTGCCACCCTGGCGCATCAGGGGGGAAGTTAAGGAAGACGCAAGGAGCAGCACGAGGGGACAGCTTGTCCGCAGACAGGTCGCGGACAAACGCCCGAGATCCCCAGACACGGAACGCAGACGCATCGCCAACCTTCCCCGTCCAAAACAAAGCTGGGGAGGTCTCCGGCATGGAGAGCGTGGGCAGAAGGTTGATCTGATGCGCCGCGTACCGAACCGCAAACGGCCACACAAAATGGGGGGCAGCCGCATGCATCATGGACGTACGGGCGACGTCCATGACCATGCCAATGCGGCGCTCAGCAATCCCATTTTGCTGTGGAGAGTCCGGAAGCGTGAAGGTCTGGCGGATGCCTCGTGCACGACAGTAGGCTCGCAGAAGGCCAGAGGAGAACTCTCCGCCTCTGTCAGAGTGCAGACGCAGAACAAGAAAGTCCGAGCCGAAGCTCTGCCTGAGTTGGAGACAAGCTGCGCGGATCCAGTCGATCAACACCTCTGTGACATCACCCTTGCTGCGCAAGTGGAAGACAGTGGTGTAACGCGAGTAGTCGTCAACCACCAGCAGGAAGTAGCGCTCCTGACCCTGTCCACGGACGCGGGCGGGGCCCCACACGTCCATGTGAAAAGTCTACAGCGGGGCCTCTGTCGGAGGAAACTGGGAGGAGTGAGGGGCAGCCCGCTGCCGCCCCTCGACACAGGGGACGCAGGTAGGGCCAGGCCTCGGAGGAAGGGGAGGGAGGGACCGGGGAAGACCAGAGACAAGGAGACGGGAGGCCATGCCTCGGAGACGAAGCAGGGAGGGGTGACCAAGGCGGTGGTGCCAGAGGAGAGTCTCGTGAGACAGGAGGCGACACGAGCAGGGGGCAGACACAGGACCAGACCTGGACGCCGCAGCAAACACCTGACGCGACGCAGCTACCTGACGAGACGCAGTGACTGGAGGAGACTCAGTGGTCAGTGTGTACAGGCTCAACCCCGGCCGACATGTAAACGTGGCCAAGTGTCGGCCCGTCCGAGTGTCCGTGTAGTGGGTCACCCGTTGGCTCGCAGGAGTGAACTGGTGAACCCCCGCATCCTGCAGGTCAGCACCACTCACCAAGTTCGTAGAGAACGAGGGGAGGTAAAGACCAGACAGGGTGCCAAAGGGGGCCGCCGGACGAGGGGAGGTAAAGACCAAGCGGCGTGAGTGTGGTGCGGTCTCGAAAGAAGGAGCGAGAAGCCCCCGAGTCAAGGGTGAAGGTGAGGGAGGCCGAAGCCGACGCAGTACCTGAGAGAGCAGACTCACCAGCACCTGAGGAAGCAGACGCACTTGCACCTAGAGCAGCAGCCTTGCTGGCACCTAGAGCAGCAGCCTCACCAGTACCTAGAGCAGCAGTCCCAATGCCCGGGTCGGGCGGAAAACACCGGGAACAGTCACCCTCATCACTAATAGTCACAGCATACATGGCAGCAAGAATAACATCAAAGTCAAGGTCAAAGAAAGCTACTCCCGCCCTAGACAGCTCGCCCCAGCGAGGGATCTCAGTGGCCTCAGGGAATTGGTGACGCCAAGCGTCCGTCATGCAGCCAAAGCAGCGCTGAGTGGAGTGCGCACCCCCGCACTGCTCACCAGTGCGGTCGCCGGTGCGGAGAACGTAGGTGCAGGGACCCGTACCCCCACCGTGCTGACGCGCAGCGTACCACTCACGAAGCTGCTCCTGCTGGCGAGTACCACCACCGGAGCCACTCCTCTGCGAAGAGCCGCGACCAGGTCCACTGCTGCTGCCGCCGCTTCTGCCGCCTCCGCCGCCTCCGCCGCATCCGCCACCTCCGCCGCCTCCGCCGCCTCCACCGCCTCCGCTATCTCCGCCACCGCCACCGCCTCCTCGGCCACCACTGCTGCCACCGACACCTCCACCCCCGCCACCACTCCCACCACCACCCCCACCCCCTCCACTGCCTCCACCACCTCCTCCACCGCCCCCGCCAGCCCCTCCAGCGCCCTTGCCCCTCTTGCCCTTGCCGGTGCGGCGTCTCCCGCTAGGGGCAGACGCAGCGCCGACCGACTCGAAACCAACGAGGTTGGCCGCAGCAGCAGAAGCAACAGAGGGCAAGAGGGGGGTGGGGGAACACCCCTCAAAGACGGGGTTGCGAGGGTCACCACGAGAGGCTCCTACAGCGACTATGCTCTTCTCTGCTGCTAGGAGGCCCTTCCTGAGGAGGTCAACGGTGAGAGTGGTTGGGCAAACTGAGAGGAAGTGGTCCCTGACTACGCGAAGAGAGTCAGGAAGACGGGTGACTATGTAGTAGAGGGTGATGTACATGGGGGAGGGGGGGGTTCTTGGCGCAGAACTCAGCAGGAAGTGCATCGCGGTAGCGAGTGTCACTAGTGCGGAGGTGCGTAATGAGTTCAGCGACTGTAGGAAAGGCAGCAAGGTCAGGGAAGAGGTACGGTAGCATGAGGCGGCTCAGTGCAGCAGTGGCAGGGGAAGAGTAGCGTGCAACTACAGCGTCGTACAAAGTCTGAGCACTCTTGTACTGGCTAAAGTGTGCACGCTCAGTGGTCGGTAAGTGGCGACGCACAGCAAGGCGAGCAGCAGCATCGCGTGTTGCCCACTGTGAGCGAACAGTGGCGTCAGCATCAGCAGCAGGGGCAAGAGAGGCACCAGAAGTGAGGTCAAAGAGGGAGAGACCGTCTGCCCTATCGCACTGTAGGAACAGCTGGAGGTCATAAACCCAGACCTCAAAGTCAATGGCACGGCCCTCAGCATCAAAAGTAAGAACACTGGGGTTAGCCATGACTGCAATGGCCTAGAAGGAAGTGAGCTCACCACTCCGAGGAAGGAGGGGCGGGGAGCACCGGTAGGAACAGCAGCGGCTCGACAGTAGGGCGACTCGGCGGCTCGGCGGCAGGGCGGCAGGGCGGCTCGGCTGCTGGGCGGCTTGGCGGCAGGGCGGCTCGGCTGCTGGGCGGCTCGGGTGCAGGGCGGCTCGGCTGCTAGGCTGCTCGGCGGCTCTGTCGCTGGGCGGCTGAGCGGTGACAGGGCCGGTAGGGGAGGGCGACGGGGCCGCAAGTGACGGCGACGGGGCCGTAGGTGGCGGCGAGGCCGCAGGTGGCGGCTGCGTGGCCGCAGGTGGCAGCGACGGGGCCGCAGGTGGTGGCGACGTGGCCGGTGGTGGTGGCGACGGGGCCGCACGTGGCAGAAGTGCCTTGGTGAAGACATCAGCAGTGATGGCCTCAGAGGCCACGTACGCAAGTCGCAACTGACCACGCTGCTGTAGCTCACGAGCAAGGAAGTAACAGAGAGCAATGTGCTTTGTTCTGTGCTCCAGTCTCTGGTCTCGACACAAGGCCAGCATGGCCTTGTTGTCTACGTACAGGACTGGAGGAGAACGAGGCGGCTCTTCAAGGTCGGTCAGCAGGTAGGTGAGCCAGCGAAGCTCCTGAGTAGCCATGGCCCCTGCGTAGATCTCAGCCTCACAACTGGAGCCGAGAACAGAAGACGAGCGAGTAGCCCGCCATGAAACAGAGCCGGAACCAAGGCTGAAGGTGTAACCCTGTGACGACCGCTGCGTAGCCTGGTCGTCAGCCCAAGAAGCGTCTGCGTGTACAGTGAGGACCACTGGACTCCGCCCTCCAAGCACTAGCCCCATGCCCGACGTACTGCACAAGTAGCGCAACACCCTCTTTGCTGCAGCCATGTGCTCTAGTCGGTGTCTCCCAGGAGCAACATAGCGTGCAAGAATGCTAAGAGGGTATGCAAGGTCAGGTCGTGTGCAGGTCATCAGGTACATGAGGCAGCCAACAAGCTCTGGATACGGGCCACTCGACTCTACGGACTCATCCGAAGGCAGAGCTGAGAGCGAGTGGCGAGTAGACAGAGGAGTGGCCTGAGGCGAGAAGTACGTGAAGCCGAAGCGCTGAAGGACCTGCTGCACCATGTGTGACTGAGTCAGGGTAATGGTGCGGCGTGCTCTGTCCCGGGTGATCTGCAAGCCAAGGTAGCTGCGCAGTTCACCCAGGTCTGTGCACGTGTGTCTCTTCTGCAGCTTGGACTTCACGTGGGCGAGTTCAGCAGTGTCACCTGTGGCAAAGACCAAGTCGTTGACGTACACGAGGATGTAGAACGGCGGCAGAGAGGTGTTGGTGCGTAGAAACAGCGACGGGTCAGCAGTGGAGGGGGCAAACCCAAGAGCCGCAAGTGTAGTCCTCTGTGTGTCGTGCCTCTCACGTAGTGCCTGGCGGAGACCATAGACCGGCCGCCGAAGGCTCCACTGGGTGCCAGGAGGAAAAGACCCAGTGAAGTCAGGAGGGCGGCGCAGCCAGATCTCCTCGTGCAGGTTGCCCTGCAGGAACGCAGTGCTGAAGTCAAGGGAGTGTAGCTCGTAGTCACGGTGAGCAGCGACGTGCAGCAGTACCCGAAGAGTGGTCATCTTCGGGGTGGGAGAGAAGGTCTGAAAGTAGTCAACTCCCTGCCGCTGACTGAAGCCACGAGCCACGTAGCGCGCCTTGAAGACAGGCGGAGAACCCGGCGGCCGCTTCACCCTGAAAATCCACATGCCACTGACAATGTTCGCCCCAGGAGGGGGGACAGCGTCAACGTAGGTGCCTGTGGACTTCCAGGAAGCCATCTCTGCATCCATAGCTGCCTGCCACTAAGAAGAGTAGGGACCCTCTATCGCCTCCGCGTAAGCGTGCGGAGTCGGGATGTCAAGTGCATCCGGGTCTCCCTCAGAGGTAAGCAGTACGGACACGAGATGAGGTGAAGCAGCGGCCAAGCACTAAAACTCCTCCTGCCTGTCCTCAAGGACGTCCGTGCCAAGGACACACACACCCCCGACGGACGGAGGACAGACAGACTCAGACTCAGCGACGAGGCTAGCAGCGTAGTCTAGACGACAGCGAGCAGCAAAGTCGACAAGCTCAGCAACTAGGGCAGACGCAGCAGTGGACTCAAAGGAAGGGTCAGTGATGATAGTAGCAAGGAGACACGAGACAGTAGGACTGGCAGCACGAAGAGAGTCCGACTCCGGGTCGGCAAGAGCAGGAAGAGAAGACGCAGGAGGAGAAGGTAAAGAGGCACGCAGAGGAGCAGTGGACGGACGAAGAGACATCCGGTGCGTGCCAGGGACAGGAGGAGGACGCTGACGCGAACCACGACCACCAGCGCTAGCAGGACGAACAGGCGACGCAGGGCGAGACGCAGGCTCACGACGCTCAGTAAGGCCTCTAGTAGGGCCAGCGTAGGGAGAAGGAGCAGGTAGTGGGGAGGCCGTCTGCAACTGTAACTGTGACGGGACAGGCTGTGGACACGCTAATGGAGGAGGACCAGGAGGAGGCGAGAGACCAAGAACCTGCTGAAGGAGCGGTACGAAGTACAGCCGAGGCCGCGCGGCGACTCCAGAGACAGCAGGGACAACACCAGCACGACCAGCGGCAGCACCAGTACCAGCAGCAGCTTCAACGCCCGACTCCACAGCACCAGCACCCAGGTCCGCAGCACCAGCAGCAGCTCCAACGCCCAGGTCCGCAGTACCAGTAGCAGCACCAACGCCCGGGTCCTCAGCACCAGCCGCAGCACCAGCGCCCGGGTCCGCCGTACCAGTAGCAACTCCAACGCCCGGGCCCTCAGCACCAGCAGCAGCTCCAACGCCCGGGTCCGCAGCACCAGCAGCAGCTCCAACGCCCGGGTCCTCAGCACCAGCCGCAGGACCAGTGCCCGGGTCCTCAGCACCAGCAGCAGCTCCAACGCCCAACTCCACAGCACCAGTCGCAGCTCCAACTCCCGGGTCCGCCGCACCAGTAGCAGCTCCAACGCCTGGGTCCGTAGCACCAGCAGCAGCGGGGTCCGTGAGATGAGGCGCGCCACTCCGAAGTGTGCAGCGCCGCTCGTACCACTCACGGATCCGCTCACGGGAGGGGAGCTCCCGGCTAGGAGGAGAAGTACCAGCACCAGTCCCTGTAGTGCGTCTGGCCCCAGAGGTACCTTTCCGGAGGCTGCAGTACTGTAAGTACCACTCACGCAACTGCTCCAAGGAGAGGCCTCGTCCAGGTGTAGGACTCTCAGGTCCAGCACCTCCAGAGGCAGAACCCCCAGGTCCCGCACCCCCAGGCTCAGCACCCCCAGTCTTCGCACCCCCAGGCTCAGCACCCCCAGTGTCCGCACCCCCAGGCTCAGCACCCCCAGTCTCCGCACCCCCAGGCTCAGCACCCCCAGTGTCCGCACCCCCAGGCTCAGCACCCCCAGTCTCCGCACCCCCAGGCTCAGCACCCCCAGGCTCCGCACCCCCAGTAGGTCGAGAGTCGACAGCAACCTCAACAGGCTCAACCGGGTCTACCTGAGACACACCTGAGGGAGCGGCACCTTGAGGGGGGAGGGGGTCTACGACAGCAGCACCTGGCGTGAGGAAGAGAGGCGGGGGGGGGAGCGGGGCAGTGCGGTAGGGGAAGAGGCGGCAGTAGGGGACAGACTCGTCAAAAGTGACGTCCTGAGAGGGCAAGACCCGGCGCGAGGTGGCGTGGTAAAACTGCCGACCAGGCGCGTCCGGAACAAAGCCGAGGAAGACGCAGGGAACAGCACGAGAGGAGAGCTTGTCCGCAGACGTATCGCGGACAAAAGCTCGAGATCCCCAGACCCTCAAACGCGACACATCGCCAACCTCCCCCGTCCACAGCAGTGTGGGCGAGGTCTCCGGCAAGGAGACACGGGGCCAGAGGTTGAGCTGGTGCGCAGCGTACCGGACCGCAAACGGCCACAGAAAGTGGGGGGCAGCCGCATGGATCAAGGAGGTACGAGCGACCTCCATGACCAGGCCAATGCGGCGCTCCGCAACCCCATTCTGCTGAGGAGAGGCCGGAAGCGTGAACGACTGCTCAATGCCGTGCTGAGCACAGTAGGCTACCAAGAGGTCGGAGGAGAACTCACCACCTCTCTTAGAGTGCAAGCGCAGGACAGGAAAGTCCGAGCGGAAACGCTCGCTGAGCTGGAGACGAGCTCTGCGGATCCAAGGGATCAAGACATCAAGGACCTCACCCTTGGTGCGCAAGGGGAAGACCGTGGTGTAGCGCGAGTAGTCGTCAACAACTATCAGGAAGTACCTCTCCTGACCCTGACCATGGACGCAGGCTGGGCCCCACACGTCCATGTGGAGCGTCTGCAAGGGAGCAGTCGTCGGGGGAAACGAGGAGGAGTGAGGAGCGGCGCGCTGCCGCCCCTCGACACAGGGAAGGCAGGGAGGAGCGGGCGAGGGTGGGAGGGGAGGGAGGACCCTGGGAAGACCAGAGACAAGGTACCGGGAGTGCATGGCACGAAGGCGCTGCACAGACGGGTGGCCAAGTCGGTGGTGCCAGAGGACAGTCTCGTGCGCTAGAGAGCGACACGAGCAAGGGGCAGACAGCTGACCTGACGCGGACGCAGACGCAGACGCAGCGACCTGAGGGGAGGTAGTAGTCAGTGTGTACAGGTCCGACCCCGGCTGCCGGGTGAAGGTAGCCAGGTGGCGGCCTGTACGAGCACACGTGCAGTGTGGGACACGCTCGTAGGCAGGGGTGAACTGGTGAACACCCCCGTCCTGGAGTGCACAACCTGCCACCAAGTTCGTAGAGAACGAGGGGAGGTGGAGACCTGACAGTGTGCCCGACGGGACCGCAGGACAGGGAAGGACAGTGGAGGAGGTCGCAATGACCGGACCCCCAGAGGGGTCAGCGAGGGAGACAGCTACTGGCCGAGGAAGTGGCTCAAGGGCAATGCGGTCACGAAAGAAACAGCGAGAAGCACCTGAGTCCAGCGTGAAGGTGT